ATATATATATATAAGTGTTTTTTTTCTCCCATCACTTGTGTCGGCACGCAGGCCTTCAGGAGGCGGCGCGGCGCACCGAGCCTGCGCTGGCGGTGTGTTCCTTCAGGCTCGTAGCGCCAAACATTCCTAAAGAGGTCTGCTGCCAAGAAGAGCCAGCACTCTGCCGAAGCGTTCGTGCACGAGAGAGGGTGTGTGTGTGTGTGCGCGAACGAGCGTGACAGCATGTTGTGCATGAGAAATGACAAGCAGAGGGGAAGAGGAGAAAGAGAAAAGTCACTTGGTTCAGATGGAGCAACAGAAGTGTTTGTTTTTCCACTTTTGTTTGCATCTCAGTCTGATTTTAAACTTTTTTTTAGAGCTGCATGAATGCGCAGCGTACAGCTATCAATCTAAGGAGGTCTAATAGACTCTTTCATGCTTCTCTGTGTGAAGTTTGATAAATTGTTTAACTGACATGATCTCAGATTGCAGATTTTATGTTTTCGCAGCGATCCTGAAGGTTTAAAAGCCACTTGTCACGTCTCAGACGCTGCACGCATGTTTGGCAGAGGAAAGCTGTTGCGTCTTGTCTCGTGGACGCTTGGAACAGCCAGCCGACTCTGCCCCATTAGTGAACGCTGAGCTGCAGTCTGGATAAGTGTGAGCGCATGGTGCACTGTGTCAGATATATGGTCTGTTGACAGTTTTCATCTCAGGGAGAGGTTTCAGGGGGGGAGGATGGAAGAACCGGCTGATGGAGAAGGACGTTGTGACGTAGAGCGTTGAACCATCGAGGGTTGATATTTTCATCGATGATGACGATAGACTTAAATATATAGATCACTAGACTGAGTCCCGCCCAGACCGTCCACTGGTAGTGTCTGTGACAGCATGGAGGAGCAAAAATGGCGACCTAAAAGGGCAACGGCTCACAGCTTCCATAGAAACTAATAGATAAACAGGAAGCTGAACCAGATCTGTTTCACAGATTATCTGTCATGTTTTTACAATAAATTAATAA